GATGAATAAGACACTTACTGTTTTACAAAGATTCATTATTGCCTCACTGGGAGTATCAAGGTTATAGGTCCACCTAAAGCTCAGAAGAGAGGAGTACAACACGCCTGAAGATTAGTAGTGTGTAATAAATGAACTGTGTGTCACCACTTTCCTTATTTCGCTTTGGCTGCTCTGTGAAGCCTTCGTTCCCACCCTCTGTAGCACTCAGCAGGTCGCAAAGCATGTCATCAGCAGTATCTTTTTCATCTTTCCACCCAACATCCTTCAAGTAGTAGTTCTTGTACTGATGTACTCCACAGTTAGATGCTGCAGGGGGCAATCAGGAAAGCCCAGTACTCCATAAGAAAGGAACAGGTACTATGAGATGATGCAGCTTTCCTTCTTCACCTCTTCAGCCAGCAATGCATAAAAGCTATACACAGTATTTTAAAGAGACTAATTTTAACATCCCTAAGTAACAGCACACTACCTTGCTTGGGTGAAAGAGGATTGCAATCACATTACTCACAGTGATGATTCATTTTGGATGAATCTCCTTTAAAAATCCAGACTGGAAGACGTGCACAAGAAACTAAAAAAAAATATCTGACGTTTACCAGTAGTATCCATGAGACAGCTATCAAATTTCAGTAGAAAATCCGCTTTTTTATAGCAAAGTTATATTTGTTCTCAGACATTTTATTAGACCAAAGTCACTACATAATCCTACTGAATATTAGTATTCGACTGCTACTGGAAGAGTAAAGCTAGAACACGTAAAAACTGCAACTAGTCAGTCACGCTTGCCTCTACTCTGAGGAAATCCAGGCTGCAAAAGCACTGGAGATAAAACATTAATTAGTAATGCCAGAGTTATCCTAACAACTTAGGACAACAGATCCTGCAGATTAACATTGCAACACCACCCTGAACAAACTATGGTAATGGCCCAGAAAACTGTAGAACAGTTCAGTCTGCAGGTGCATTAAGAATGGGAAAAAGCCAACTGCTGTCCCTCCTTACCAACAGTAAATGACATAGTCTCAAGAAATACATTTCAGAAGCGAGTTCCTCTTCAAATATCTCAATGCAGATACCAGAAATTCCCAGTAGAAGTTTGTTAAAATTAAGTCAAAAAGACTAGGTAGTGAGAACTGGCCTGGAAGCCTCACCACACAGCAGAACTAGCTGAATATCTTACAATTTTTAATATCTTTTTATCCTCCTATTAAAAGGCATCTCCTTTTCCTTCCACACAGGAACTAAACCAATCCTATAACCATTTATTATCCTTCTCTGAGATGCTTCTCTCCTTTCCACTCTCTACAGGGAGCGCCTCCCAGCCATATTTTTCAAATTCCAGTTCAGGAACGTGGAATACAGCTCAGGCAGGAACAAAACCTTCCTGTGTTATGTTCTGGAGACCCAAGGCAAGGAGTCAGTGACTTCTCGGGGTTACCTGGAAGACGAGCACGCGGCCGCCCACGCAGAAATGGCTTTCTTCAACACAATTTTGCCAAAGTGTGAATCGAGCCTCCGCTACAACATCACCTGGTACGTCTCCTCCAGCCCCTGCGTGACCTGTGCTGATCGGATAACCGAGACCCTAAAGAAGAACAAGAACCTGCGTCTGACAATCATGGTGGGGCGCCTCTTCATGTGGGAAGAGCCAGAAATGCAGGCTGCCCTGAAAAAAATGAAGTCAGCTGGCTGCAAGCTGAGGATTATGAAGCCTCAAGACTTTGAGTATGTCTGGCAGAACTTTGTGGAACAGGAGGAAGGAGAGGAAGCAAAGGCTTTCGTGCCATGGGAGGACATTCAAGAGAACTTCCAGTACTACGAGGAGAAGTTGGCTGAGATTTTGCACTAGAAGCTCACGTGAGTGAGGATTCCCACTCCTTGTATTAGTATTACAGTCTCCTCTTTTTTTTTCCAGGTTGTTAAAGGTGTAACCCAGAGCCAGCTCCAGCCACTGCTGCTCTCTCACGTATCTGGCTGGGTCTGCCTGTGCACCGGTATCGAAAATACTCCCAGGCAGTAACTCACCTCTTCAAGGGTAGTAACACTGCAGTGGGCTCCTCCACAGCAGACACTTACAGGGTTTAGAGCTTTCATTCTTTTTGTCCTCCTCAGAGTAAGCACCTCCAGGAATAAAGAATGAAAAGGTACGGGGGACACTACGTACAATAAGAATACCCCACTGTTACCCACACGCACGATACGCAGGACACGTGCAGAAACAGTGAAAGGAACGTAGAGAAAAGAGGACTTCCCCCCACCCCACAGACTAGCCCTCCAGAGAAAAACCAACCACTAGAGGAAATCAGCTACCATTGCAGATCTCCTTTTTTTTTTTTCCAAAGGGTACTGAAGAGTCACCTATTTAAGCCATAAAACATGAAAGAACTTGAAGATTCTAACACCTCTTTTTGTTTCCTCAGGACCAATTTGGGAAAGAACGACGGGAGATGTGATAGGCTTGGACATCAGGAACACTTCTGCTTTCCAAAGCTTTGATTCCAGCAGGATAGAGAACCAACTTCTGGAAGACTAGGCCCTGATGGACTCCAAATACATTCACAACGCAGGTCTTTGGTGTTTGGGATTTTTTTTTTGTTTATTTTGGTTCTTCCTCCTCACCCTCCACCCCAAACAAATACATGCTAGGAAAAAAGAAGGCAACATACTGTGTGGTTAAAGTCCTGAATGGAGATGGATTGCAGAGGACCTACAGGAAAGACCACAGGAGTCACATACTGGGACTACTTTATGAGAAAAGATCTTACAACAACAAGATCTGATGAACAAAGTGTGTTACTGATCTGCTGCCCCTTAGATAAATGCATTTAGAAAGTACAACCTTCAGAAATGTTAAAAAGAAAGGGATTTAAGATGATAAAAAGTTTTTCTTCCTCTGCCCTCAATAATCAGAGCTGTGATTTAAATTGGAGCTAACTAATCTATTCTAAATTTAACCCTAACGACTTGATTTCAAATACCTTCTCCCCTTGTTCAACGATGTTTGTGATACAAAACTGGGAAGAGCAAAGCGAAATAAAATGGAAACTCACTGCAACAACCTACAGCACTGTTTATTCCTTCTTCTCTATTTGCGAGAGGTCCTAAATTTAATCTGACAAGTGAGACATCCTGGGACAGCCACGCATGAAATATTTCATAGCTGAAGTGCAGCATGATGAGAAGGGAGAATTACCATCTGCCAAAAAAATTTCAAGAGTACATACAAGTGTGGGAGAGAGAGAGTATGGGCACACCACTTTCCGTAGAAAACAAGGCAGAGACCAAACAAGGGTCACAGGGACAGCTGAGAAACTGAGTCAGATAGGGTTTGCTCTTCCAATCAGTTCTTCTCCTGCACTGCCACAAGCTGGAATGGTGCAAGACACACACACTCCTCTGCTCGCCTCACCCATCCCTCACCTCACCCAGCTGTGCTAAATTCTGGCACAGATTTTCCAAGCAGAAAAAGCAAGCGGCAACAAGAACACCTTTGTGGAGCTGCTGGGGATTTCGTCTCTTTGCCACAAGATTTAAAAAACAAATAAGCTTAAAGACTAAATCATTGAGCAGCCTTGATGTCCTCTTGATCAGCTCAGCACTCTCAAGTCCCTATTTGTCTATTTTTTTTCCTCCAGTTGTGTATTTGGCTGCAGTAATTATCCACCAAAACCAAGCTTACCAGGGATGGTCAACAAACAGGGAAAGTAATAATACCAAGCTCTTAAAGACACAAACAGGGTTTGCAGATCTGTATCAGCAAAGAAATCACACAACACAGATTAACCCACAATTCTAAGAACAGAAAACACTCCAGCCATCCAATTCACGGAGAAAACCAATTAGGAACCAGCTAAAACCAGGACACTGTTATGCTACAAACTTCTCAACCATTAGGTCCCATCTTTTAGGTTTCTTCAACACACTTGGCATTTTTTGGCCATTCAGTAGGAGAGAAGTCTAAAAGATTTATTATGTTTAGTTTTTCCCACCCTTCCACAGTAAAGAAAACGCACAGTATGTGACAGTTCTTCAGTACTGGAGCCAAACTTTCCAAAATCAAGTGTTTGCCAACGATCTGATGAACAAAGTGTGTTACTGATCTGCTTGTGCTATTGGTGACACCAAACACCAACCTACACGTAACAGTCAAACTACAAACGCAGTAAAAAACTAAAAATTAAAAATCTTCAACTTCATACTGGGACTTTTTAGAGCACATCAGTCATTCATGTGGGGATTCTCAGAAAACTCAGCTCTTCAGGCTCCACCAATTACATGGTACAAAACGCATGCACAAGATGTCGTCACGCATCACCAGCATTCCCCTTCAAACTCCTCTTCCTCCAGAATGCAGTCACAACACATACACAGGTATTTTTTTTTAAAAAAAAAAGTGCTCTGAGCTGACAGCAGTACCGAAGAGCTTTTATTTAATGTTGACAGCATGACTCTTAGCGAGTACTATCTCACAACAAAACATTTTATTTGTCGCCAGAAGGCAGAAATTAAATTTTTAATCCTGTAACAAACAGAGTAAGTAAACTGTATGCCAGATATGAACGTTGCAAAACCGTTAAAAAGAAAAAAAAAGTGACAGGGCTCCACAGCTCTTCATTATCCACCGTAACTACAAACCAACAAACGCCTGAGCAACAGACAGCTCCAATTTCACTCTGCACGGGAACCGGCAGCTCTGCGTAGAAGCTGTAGTGTAGGCAGGTGCTCCGTGGAGGACCAGTGACACCTGGTGGCTGCTGGCACAGACCGGTAACTCCCCGAGGGTTACCACAACACCCTTGCCCTCTTCACGGGCTCCCTGAACACCATATCCCAAATTAGCTGCTCCGGAGCACTCTTTTTTTGTTGTTGTTGTTAAAAGCCACTGCCACCACAAGAGCAAGCTATGCTCAACGTGCTCAGCATGCAGTTTCCCCCTCGTCAGTCAACAGGTTTCTGCTCCTGGAAGTGAGGGAAATGGGACTCTCTTTAAACTCTTTAGCTTACAGACTGTAAACTGTGATCTTTATATCTGTGTCTTCAAACACCTCCCCAAGTATTGCTGAAACTTTACTCCACTCCAGGCCATCAAGACCACATCCAATTCTGGAAAAAAAAAGACATCAAGACAGCTGTAAGAGCCTCTTTTGGAGCACGCTATGAACAACCAGCCCTTCAAGCTGCTACAATTTTACGTGGCACTAAATCACCTTACCGTAAATCAACATAACGCAGTCAAAATCATAGACTCATAGAATGGTTTGGGTTGGAAGGGACCTCACAGACCATCCAGTTCCAACCCCTCTGCCATGGGCAGGGACACCCTCCACTACACCAGGTTGCCCAAAGCCTCATCCAATCTGGCCTTGAACACTTCCAGGGATGGGGCAGCCACAGCTTCTCTGGGCAACCTGTTCCAGTGCCTCAACACCCTCAGAGGGAAGAATTTCTTCCTTAGGTCTAATCTAAATAAGGAAACAACCAAGCCTGTACGTTTTTCTATCATTTAAATGCACTGGGAAACGCAGATTTCATTTGCACCACTGAACAGAAGAGTCGAACAGGAGACAAGTGGATACTTGAACTTTTGTTTCACAGCAGGGGATCACCTCTCCAACATCCTTCTGTGCAAGAAACACTGAAGTATTTACACTGCAGTAAGTAATTTTCTTACCTGGGCATGGAAATGTCAGTGACTCCATTGTTTAGACAGTGAGCTTTCATGGCCTCTAAACTCTTTCGCATAGTGTCATACGTCGGTTTGTGAGAAACTTTCTTCTTTGTAATCTGAGCATAAATGTAAAAGGTCAGTTGTGCCTTTGGCAGGATCACTGCAAACTATGTTCTTTTTCGAAAAAAACGTATTCCACTACACTCTGAAACTCCACACCCAGACTTGCCACTGGGAAGGGAAAAAGAACTATGTTTCACAGCTTAAAGCAGTGTCATTTAGCAGCAAGTTCTGTCAATTTAAAGTTTAAATATACATACACAAGAGAGCTTGGCATCTCCTTGACTAGCAAGACCCGAGCAATGCATCCTACACTTATTTAGAAAAAAAACAAAAAACCCACAAGCATCTCCCTTCTGAGGAAAGGCTGAGGGAGATGGGTCTGTTTAGCTTGGAGGAGACTGAGGGGGGACCTCCTTAATGTTTATAAATATGGAAAGGGTGACTGCTGTGAGGATGGAGCCAGGCTCTTCTCAGTGGCATCCAATGACAGGAGAAGGGGAATAGATCCAAGCTGGAACATAGGAGGTCCCGCTTAAACATGAGGAAGAACTTCTTCCCAGTAAGGGGAACAGAACATTGGAACAGGCTGCCCAGAGAGGGTGCGGAGTCTCCTTCTCTGGAGATGTTCCAAACCCGCCTGGACGCCTTCTTGTGTGATCTGATCTAGGCAGTCCTGCTCCGGCAGGGGGTTTGGACTAGATGATCCTTTGAGGTCCCTTCTAATCCCTAACTTTCTGGGATTCTGCGATATCTAATGGAGTTTAGTTACGGGGGAGTGCATGAGTAATGTTCCACTCTTACCAGGTAGTAAATGTATCGGTCCTCTCTTTGGAGAACAGCCACCTCCCCAGTTTTCTTTTCTAAAGTAAAGAAATTCAGTAGGTATTTTTAATTCAATCGACTACATAACACCCCCTGCACCCCAAGTAGCTTGGAATACCCTTACTGCTGGAAATCAAGGTATTCCCTTCAGCTCCTGCATGCCCACCCACGGGTATCACTTACGTTGATCCAACAGCTCTTGGACGCCTCCAAATTTTTTCTTAAAAAGAACAGCTATGCCTGCACCCATGCGACAGTCCTCACTGATGCAATGAGCCAAGGAGTCCGTCTGGGGGCATGAGAAAAGGTCCCCCTTAACACACTTGATCTGGAAAACAACACAAACAGAAGGGTAAACAAAAATAAGCCAAGACTTGGGTAAGAAAACACTTGGGTAACTGGGTATTTGCAAGCCTGTACAGTAATGAGTGCGAGGCAGTGAGTTTAAGACGCGGTTTACAGGTAAATGTGCTGACATGACTTATGAACCCAACATACAGATAACTATTTTTTTCTACAAGATCAGTTATGAGTCTCACATGCCAGCTCAGTAGACAATTTTACAGGATGAACCCTTAAAAAGGAAAATTATGTAACAGAGTACTAGTGGATTAGTGCACATCTTCAGCGCACTATCAGTCTGTCAGCCCTGGATATCCCCAGACATTTACTTAAGCAGGTAAGCGCTGTCCTGTTGTACAGTACCTGCATCACTGACCTAAGCACAAAAGCACAGGGAATTCAGCAGTTATCAGCCACTTTCCTCCAAGAAGTGGCATGGTACAGCCAGCTGCCACGTTATTAGGCCTCTAATAACAGGAAGGCCTCTCTACAGAGACACGCACCACAGCAGCACCCCACATAACCCACTTGGTACGCACTCTCTCCTCCTGATCCTTGGAGAAGTGGGTGGCCATGGTAACGTGGGCTATGTTGAAGACTCCTGTGGCTAGAAGGATGACAGAGAGAAAGAGAGTTATTAGGAATCCCACACTAGGCAATAAGCTGGCATGCCAGCAGCTACAAGGCTGAGCCTACTGCATCCATGGGACCGTCAGGACAATCAAGACACCCCTGAAAACAGCAAAGGAGGAGGCCAGCTCCCCTGACCAGTGTGGTACAAGCTTCCCTGCTGCAGCCCCACACCTCCAGCCCGTGAGGTG